TTCTCTTATCTTTGAGTAAGAGCTTAGGTATGTAAGGAGCAAGAGAAAGAAAGTGAGGGGGGGGCTTTATTTGCCTGCCCTAAGGAAAAGCCTCGTTTTTAGAAGTTAGTTATTTTGATTTAACTGAAACTTGTTACTCATTTAACTGCAATATTCTATGGAAATATAATTCATGCTTTGCTTATGCAACAAACTCAATCTATAAAGACTTATTTTTCAATAAAAAATTATTCTTAAAACTCCTTAAGAATGGTCTTTTGAACAGCAAGTCTGCTGAGCCTGCTTCCAGGGGGATTGCACGGTCACGAGACTGCTAGTATCAGAGTCCTATCTTTCTGAGCTTTAGGGGGTCTTGGAAGACTACAAAGCCCAGGTGCCTGTACTTGTTAAGTGTAACTAAGTGCACGAGTGAATCAGGCTAGACTTGCGGGAAAGGGTCTGTGATACGCCCTAGCTGAGGTGAATGGCACTCCATCCAGCTGATAAGGGGTACTCAGACGCCTAGAAGCTCTTTGGCCAATGAATGGCGTTCCCTAGAGGGAGGCTGGTTCGCGACAACTAGTCTCTTGGAAATACCAGATTTTCGTAAACAACTTACTTGATCATCAAGATTCCTCTGCTTGCACAATATATAAATATCATAGAAAAGCTACGAAAGGACTTAGTGTTTTCCTTCACTCTGCATGAGTAAAGCCAACAGTAGAGGAATGCAGATAACTTTTTCCCTAACCTGCTCTCCTTTAGCTGTATGGCACCTTATTCTGTTGGGCATCTTGAAATAGTCAAGGCTAGATTTTCAGAAAATGAAGTGGTGGAGAAATGAAGTGAGAGGCAAGGCAGTCCCATTCTAATCAGTGGAACAGGGTTAAGATCTACAGTATCTCTCTCTTTGTGTTTGTGCCTTACTTCTGATTAATTAACACAATAATGTAGCTTTGTATTTTCAAGTTCATTTAATGTTGTTTAGATTTGATGGCAGCTTTTGAATCAAATTGGGTGAAATTAGAGAACCATCTAACAATCTTTGTAGAAAGGCTTATAACATTTCCTTCTCTATTTAAGTCTTTTCCTATTGATTGCTTAGATTAGTAACTCTCAGCCACTTGGGGTGTGTTCCCATAGGGGGCATTGCAGTATCAGGGTAGATGTGTAACATAAGCCTACCCCACCCTCAATAAAATTGCCCTACCATGCTTCCCCCAAAATAAGACAGGGTCTTATATTCATTTTTGCTCCAAAAATGCATTAGGGCATATTTTTTGGAGGATGTTTTATTTTTTTAAGTACAACAATATGCATTTATTCAAATTCAGTCTTGTCATCTTCTTTTGTTTGCTGCACAATTGTGGAGGGTGGAGTTTCACTTATTTCGCTTATTTTTGGGGTAGGGCTTATATTACAAGCATCCCAAAAAATCCTACTAGGGCTTATTTTGAGGGAAACAGGGTATTGCTTAGCTACGCTGGGGAAATAAGGTTACTGTCATATTGCTACTAAGTAATTCAATTTCTGGTTGCATGCGACTTAGTCTCATTATGTGCAAGTTACACGTAATCTGAAGTGAAAACATTAGGTAGTAGCAATCTGTGGCTGGTCGTGATGTCATTTCTGCTATGCTGATGTAATTATACAGTAGAATACTGGACATTGCATAATTTTAAATATGGAATACTGGGGGAAAAGGAACCTGTTTGTTTTTTAAATATATAATATTTACAATATTTAGAGCCATGAAAATAATTTTTTCTGGATAGAACATGTTTTGTTTCTTCTATTTGCTTTTCTTCCTTCAACAATCATTACTGATTTAGTTGTTTCTCTTCCCATTGTTGTACAGTACTTGGGTAATGGAGGTACATAATGGATTGCTTGAAGTTTGAGAGATGTCTCTAGATTAGTCACCAAAACTTTACAATCTTTGCCGAGGAGCAAGAAATCTGATTTTGGGGGAGATGACTAGATGGGGCTGAATTTCATTTTGTCTTGAGGCTTTTCTCCCTGTGGCTTTAATATGGGAAGGGGCTAGTTTGTTCTTATATCTGCAGTTCCATATCCTTGGCTTCCAGACTGATATGAGGACTTAGCTTAGTGCTGGAGAGAAATAGCTCAATGCTAAGGAAATACAATGTGAATGGTTGCTGCTAACAATGTTAAAATTACAGTTGGTACTTGTGTCTCATGCCAAACTAATGCATTTGGGTTCCTTATAGATTTGCCTTGGTGGTTGCTTCTAATTCGCCAAAAAGCAGTGGTTGGCAAACTTCCAGGGGATCATGAAATTTATAAGATAACAAAGATTGTAGCAGTACCACTGTCTGAAGCAGAACCTCAAGATCTGGAGCTGGAGGTAAAGGCAAAACTTCTGAAATCTCGTATTTCATAAGTGTAGTGCTTGCAAAGTTGGGGTTCCCTCACCCATTATTGATCCCCTTTCCTGAATGTTTCATCTTCTGGGAATATGCTGTGCCTGAAGCTAAGAATGTCTTACAGAACATCTAGATTCTATCCAGGGAGTTAGTTCTCATGTTAACAGTTATACAGTAACTGCTTCAACAGTCCTGTAGACAAAGATGGTTGCTGGATGGTGTTGTGGAATAATTAATTTCACTGCTTACTTACAATTTAAATAGATGGTTTATTGTACGTTCAAAGAAAAAACTAGTTCCATGTTATGGACAACCTTCTTCCCCACAAAATCTGTGTCTCAGTTATGTCTTTGTTCGTAGTCTTTCTCATGTCTTCAGAGTTTAAAGAGGTGACTATTGCAAAACAGTATTTTAAGCAATACCATCTATTATCCTACAGAGCCTTTCTCCTTAGACAATTTTGCCTGGCATCAAAAGTCTATTCTGTCTTGTTAAGTTTGTAGGTATTATGTAATAAAGTTTTTCTGGTATCTGCTCCATCTTTCAAATGGATATTGTAAATGTTTTTACTTCTGGATTTGCAGTTAGCATTATCATTATCACATGGATTTACAGAGCTGTATTTTAGTATTTTATTGTAGATTATTTTAGGTGACAACCTTGAGACATTCATGAAAGGATGTGTCTTTCATTGTCTTAAAATAGATAATGTATTTTCAGAAAGATGCAAATCGTATTAACTTTTAGTTAAACTGTTTTATAAGAGCACATGCATTTAACAATGATTTCCAAAACAGTCACTCATATAATCAACTATTATCCCTTCAAACATGATATAAACAAAATATATTGTGTTTTAGCTCTGTAAAAAACATCATTTTGGAATATACAAACCAGAGAAGATTACACAATCTCCCGAGGACTCCAAATTTCTGCTCAAGACTTTCACTCAGATTAAATCAAATGTTTCTGCTTCTAATAAAAAGAAGGTGGGTCTTTCGGAACTTTTCTTCTACTTGTGGTAAGAGTTGTGCAAATGCATAATTTTCATGATGTTTTGAACTCCCTGTGGATCATTACATAATATGGTTTCTGGCATTCAAACATGGCGTTTTACCCATTCTGAAAAAAGTATCTGTTCACATGGTGTTTTACCCACATTTTCTTATTTCACATCTTCAAGTGAAGGTGTAAAATCAGATTTTTGTTTGGATCTTGTTGCTTCCAATTGTCTTGCGTTTCTCTTGATCTTTGACTCCTGAAATTCACTGAAACATTTCATCAGCAAATTTGGAAACATTTTGTTGCTAATTATGACATTAATTGTTCTCCAGCTTCTGAGTGCACTACATATACTATATTAATAACTGAGGTTTCTGTAGTACCTTATGGATTTCAACAGTTTTTCCCATGATAGATTCTGAGCTCTGTGCTGGAAACATCTCTTAGCATTCCTGTGACATCCAAGTCCAGTTGACCATGACCTGCCAAGTAGTAATTAACAGCTTACAATCCCTGTATTAAGAAATCTTGATCAATTTGTCTATTATCTGTACTCTCAACTGGTCTTGGGGATGTGTATAAATACATGGAACATTTATTAGCACTCTGGTATCTGAAAAAGTGGATACTTCTAGGATTCTAACTCCCATCTTAGTTGGTGACCGTATGTGCAGCTGATTACATGCCATTTTGATTAACGTTTGTTTAGACATCAAAGAACCACAGACCTGCAATTTCCTACTGCTGATAATTACATTGTTCAGAATAGTAACAGTACATTAAAAAGTAAATTACATTACAAAATCAGTTTTATTGAACTTGTTTGAGGAAATGAGTTTGATCTCATTGAACAATACTTTATGAATTAAAAATATATTAAAATTTATATCTTCATCAGAATTTTGTTGCATTGCTCAGTTATATAGGGGCAGCTGCAGAACTGGTGGGATGCATTTTTCTGCCTCGCTGTCACACACCTGACAATCTCATGTGCCTAGATTTAGAATCCGGAGCTCTTGTATTTTAGGAGGTTTTCTGAATGAGCCTCATGGTGCAGTGGTTAAACCACTGTCCTGCAGCCAAAACTGTGCTCAGGACCTGGGGTACAATCCCAGGTAGCCGGCTCAAGGTTGACTCAGCCTTCTACCCTTCTGAGGTGGGTAAAATGAGTACCCAGCTCTCTGGGGCAATGTGTAGCCTGCATAATTAGCTGGTGCAGTGGTTAAACCGCTGTCCTGCAGCCAAAACTGTGCTCAGGACCTGGGTGCAATCCCAGGTAGCCGGCTCAAGGTTGACTCAGCCTTCTACCCTTCTGAGGTGGGTAAAATGAGTACCCAGCTCGCTGGGGCAATGTGTAGCCTGCATAATTAGGTTGTAAACCGCCCAGAGAGTGCTTGAAGCACTATGGGGCAGTATATAAGCAGCACACTTTGCTTTTTTTGCTTCCCCCCCCCCCATTCAGATATGTGCTTCCTTGATGGAAATTGGATTCAATGATCTATGGGATCCCTTCTAGCTCTACAGTTTTAAGATGACAATGACAATGACCATGATGACTAGCAATTTTGACCGTGTCTCTTCCTGACGTGAACACACCTGCTTGGGAGGGCAGTCCCAGCTGCCAGACAATTTGAAAAATGGCCCTTGACTTCTGTGTCCACACCAGTGAACGGATTGACAGCTGAGTAGTGCAAACAAACTTTTTCTCACTCAGTCAAAATATGCAATATGAATTCTAATCTTAATCTGTTTTGCAGGTTAGAGAAAGTAAAGAGAAAGAGAGACTGGAGAGACGGCTTTTGGAAGAACTATTAAAAATGCTTATGGACTCAGATTCTTTTTATTACAGTTTGACTTACGACCTAACAAACTCTGTCCAGAGGCAAAGTGCATGTGAAAAAACTACTTTGCCACTTTGGAAGAAGGTAAGGGTATATTTATTGTAAGACTAGATGGATTTTGAATGATCATCTAAAGATTTTGTCAATGTAAACTCCTCCCCAAATATCCATTTATTTCCTGGTTGAGAAACGTTTTGCTCCAGAAAGGAATTCTGATGGAGAGTTTGCTAGGGAAAAGTCTTTTTCAGTAATTGCTGTTATGTAGAAAGGATACACATAATAATTTATTTTTTTCAGGTTGATGACAGATTCTTTTGGAACAAACACATGATTGAAGATCTGATAAATATTTGTGTGAGTAATGTTTCATATGCATATGAAATCCCTTTAGAACCTCTGTGTGCTGTATATCTATCTGTTCTAATTCTTGTTGGCACTGCTCAGTATCATAGGCAAATAAGAACACTGGTACTGTCCATGTAGTTGATCTAACTGTTTGTGACAGAGGTATCATTGTATGAGGTGGTACTATCCTTCAAATAGTTTGGGTCCAGACTGTTTGAAGGATTATATCTCCCAAGTGAGCCCATCTGACTTTTAAGATCATCTGGAGAGGCCCTTCCCTCACTTCCTTTCCAAGCTCATTTGGAAGTGAGTCAGTAAACTATAGCTCATTCTACTTCCTTATATTTTAATTTGCAGAAATCTGAAGTGGATTTTTGGATTATCCCAATCATCCAGGGATTTGTTCAGATTGAAGAACTTGTAGTTAATTATAATGAAGCATCGGATGAGGAGAAGAGCAGTCCTGAAACACCACCTCAGGAATCTGTCTGTGTGGATAATATTTACCCTTGTTTTCTTGTGGCACTAATCTCACGCCGAAGCCGCCATAGAGCTGGTAAGCCCATACAGTCCACATACTTTATAAATCTAAGATGCTCAGTGAACCTCATTAAAAAAAAACCACAGACATTTTTTAAAATTTTTACAAAATTTAAAAAAAACAACAAAATTTTTAAAATTTAGAGGGGAGCTGCTCCATATGAGAAATTATTTGTTACCCAAGACATTGTGAAGTGGGCAAGAGTCTGTGGCTGAAATCTTGTTTGGTAACGTAAGCAAATTTGTACTTTTTGATCTTGCGGATGCATGCACACCCTGGCTTAGTGCATACACATGCTCCCTCATGTGAAAGTCATGTTAGGGGCTCTTTATTTAATGTAGAGGACTGGACCAATACTTACATATTTGCTTATTTTATGCAATATGGTGTGCTGAATCTTGATATGTGAATAACTTTTCCTTGTTGTGGCCTTGAGCACTTGAACTGTGATAAAACTAGAAAAAATAGTTATAGCTAAAATTGAGTTCTATTTTTCTGAATTTTTAGATTTTGATAGTGGCTATATACAGGTACTGTCATAAAAACATGGTATACATCTGGGCTTCGTGTTTATTCACTGCAGTTTAAAAAATGCTGCAAAGCTAATTTACTTATAACAATTTCACTCTCAGTTTTGTCATAAAAATGGTATACATCTGGGCTTCGTGTTTTATATTTACTTATAACAATTTCACTCTCAGTTTCCAGAATAGAACTGTGTTAGCCTGTTGCTATCGGAAGTCAAGATCTGAGGTTTTGGATTTCCTTTTATTTCTTTGGGTTCTCATGAGATAATCCAATCCAAATGTTCGTGGACAGGTACCATGTACAACTTGAATGTATTGAATATTTCCTGTGAAATCTCGGCTTATTTTCCAGGGATGCGTTACAAACGACGAGGGGTTGATAAAAATGGGAATGTGGCAAATTATGTGGAGACTGAACAATTGATTCACGTCCATAACCACACCCTCTCCTTTGTTCAGACAAGAGGCTCTGTGCCAGTGTTTTGGAGTCAGGTTGGTTATAGATATAATCCCCGGCCAAGATTGGACAAAAGTAAGTGTTGACATAATGTCAGTGCCTTTTGCTGTGTTTGCTGGATTTAAGATTTTATTGCTGACTTCTAGTTATATTACCTGTAGCAGCAGAGATGATTACTTGGATCTCCTTTACTGGTGCCTGGAAGCAGTGTCTTTGCTGTCATCTCTATGTTTGCTCCTTGTTATTCTAGGGCAGCGATGGCGAACCTATGGCACGCGTGCCACAGCTGGCACACAGAGCCGCTTCTGCTGGCACATGAGCCATAAGTTGCCAGATCACTACTGCCCCCCCATCCAAACCTGAGAAGGAGGCTGTATCCACGGTGCTGGTGCTTCGGCAGGTGGATCCAGAGCAGCTGGTGCTGGCAGCAGATCCGGAGAGGGGTCTGGAGGCACCTCTGTGCCGGGATTCCCCCTTCGGGGTCTGAGGCACCTCCGTGCCGGGATTCCCCCTTCCGCCTCCACTTCCAGTTCCGCTGTCATGGCACGCCACCCACTGCTTTGTTTTTTCCCAGTCTGGGCATGCGAGCCCAAAAAGGTTTGCCACCACTGTTCTAGGGCATAACACACTTCTAACCACATATTCTAGTTTTTCAAGTAGTTGATAAACAAGAGGACAAATGCTACTTAATATAATTGCTGTAAATACTATAAAGCTGAACTATATGGGTGAAAGTACATTTCTTACTGACACAGGAACATCTGTGGTCTTAATAAGGAAGGGTCTTCATTTAATTATTGCAGCCTATATTCTTTGTTTGACATTTCTCCGTTCAAGTAGTCACTCTGCAAACAGTCTCTGACACCATCTTAACATCTGCCATGTGTCAAATTCTGCCATGTTACTGTTTTTTTTTCTTCCTCTGTATTTGTAGTTTGCATTATTTTACATTTCGCTTCATTTAGATTACAGCAGTACATAGAGTGTACAGTATGTCTGTTGGCATTAGCTGAACTATCAAGCTTTTTTTCATATGTTTGTAAAGGATCACTTCCTAAAGTTAGTTTCAGAGCCCCATTCACCTTAGTAAAAACAGACCTCATGTGCAGAAAGTTTTGGATGTGGCTATTAGGCTGGATTAGCTGAAGTCCTGCTAATTACGATCTCATGATTGAATTGAGTCCCAGGACTGAACCAGAGTTATGCTCTTCCACTTAGTGTTGACACCCCATTTCTCATGAACCACAGTTTCTGAAGCAAGGAAAAGAGTTGTATCTTGTCTGTAAGACACTTGGCAACCTTACAGTACAGGCAATGCTGACTTTAGTTCTAGCTTTTCCTAGTACACTGCAGTGGCTCATCTATACAGTTTCTTTTAGGAGACTGGATGCCTATACTCAGTATAGCTGAATTCTGCTACATACTAACTAGAACGGTATTAAATATTTTTTGTTGACTGGTTAGAATAGCATCAGGGGCCAGTGCTGTTTGTAGAATCAGGTGGAGATACCAGCCCCGAGAGCTACAAACTGGAAGACTTCGAGCATTCTGGAGTTGAACAAAACTGGAGGTAGAAGCTCATGTGGAAGGGTGTTCTGGAATTAATTTATAATTTTCACCAGAATAGTCCAGATTAGCAATCTTTTTGTTTGAAATGCTTTCCATAGAAATTTACACATATAGTTCCAATATGATCCTACAGCAGTAATCAGATACTTTGAAATGTGAGCATATACACCTCCCTCCAGTACTCACAATGTTCTTTGCCTTATAGGTGAAAAGGAAACTATCCCTTATTTCTGTGCACATTTTGAAGAACAGTTAAAAATTTATACAAAACAGGTAGGTTTTGAATAAATTCTTACAACATGTATAATACATGGCAACTTTGAGGACTGGGTCTTAATTTCTGACAAATAGAAACATACCATATTTCCCCGAAAATAAGGCAGGGTATTATATTAATTTTTCCTCCAAAAAGATATTAGGGCTTATTTTCACAGGATTTTTTTTCATGTACAACAATCTACTACATTTATTCAAATATTGTCATGTCATCTTCTGGTTGCTGCACAATGGTGGAGGGCAGGGTTTTACTTAATGGGCTTATTTTTGGGGTAGGGCTTATATTATGAGCGTCCAGAAAAATCATACCAGGGCTTATTTTCAAGTTAGGTCTTATTTTCAGGGAAACGGGTTATTTTAGCAATTTCAGGCTACTATACTTAACAGAAACAAAGTAACAGCTCGGACAAAAATAAATGCTAAGATGTTCTTTGATATAAAACAGTTGTCTATAGGATAGCATCTCAGTTGTTGTGGCCATTTACAATGACGTGTGTGTGTTTGTGTTTACGTATGCATACTTTCAGCCTTTGTTTAAGTCCTCAGAGTTGTAACTGTTATGTGGAGCAAACGAATGTGTACTATCTAAGAAACTCTGGATTGTATACAACGGGAACATTGGGCTAGTGGAAATCAAAGAAGGATCTATTTTTTTGCCATGTCTCTGCCCTTATCCCACCTCCACAGCCCTTTGTGGCATGTCACATAGTGTTCAATAAATTTTCTTAACGTTTTTGAGGAGCGCAGGAAATGAAATGGGGAGGGCAGTCAGTAAAAATGGAGTTCCATGCCTTGCACAAGTAGAACTGTTTTCTAATTCAGAAAGGCTACCCTTGGATGAAAGTTTGTTTAGTGTGCTCTGCTGGATCCATAAGATTATACTGTATAGAATGATTTGATAGAACACTGGCATTGTAATGGATATAAAATCCCAGTGGAATTTCTAGCACTTCTTGAGAAAGCATTTAAGAATCACTTAAGAATTAACATTCCTGAGAACCTCCTTGGGCATGGAATGTTAACCACTTTAAAAAGTCCAGACGTCTTAAACTGCAATCTTTATGCAAACATATAAACATTTGCCTGCTTGCCTTTGTTTTTTTTGTAACTAATGGCCTTTTAATTTTATCAATGTTGAACAGATTATTATTAACTTGGTGGATCAGACTGGACGAGAAAAAATTATTGGTGATGCTTACCTTAAACAAGTTTTGCTGTACAACAATCCAAGCCTTACATATGTTTCATTTGATTTCCATGAACATTGGTAAGGATGTCAGAAGTATCTTTAGATGTTCTTTAGAGACTAAGTTGACAGTTTTTTGTCATATGTTTCTACAGATAAAGAGTTTCATGGTATTTTTAGAAACTATTTCACAACATTGTCTTCATAAAAATATTTATAAAGTGAGTACGTACATAATGACACATAGAAATAAGGATTTGAAGTATGTAATTGTTACACTGTAAGTCCCTGACCTCCCTTGCCATTTATCAATGGTAAATAAATAGAGCAGGCACAGTAATCTCATTTGATCTGTCAAGGACTTGTTTTTATAGAAGATGATCGAAATTACTTAGGAAAAGTATGAGGGTGAAGATAAAGTTGTTTCAGCTTTTGTGTGATAATGTAAGCTGTATATTCCTGTAATGATAAAAACTGCAACAACTTGTGTTTTCTTTGTTCTTTTAGTCGTGGAATGAAGTTTGAAAATGTGCAAACGTTAACGGATGCCATTTCAGATATCATCACTGATGTGAAGTGGTGCTGGTTGGTATTAATGAGTTCACTGAAATCTGAAATTTGGAAATAAATTGCACAAAGAGAGCTTGTCCCACACTTGTAATGGTACATAAGATACTTGAGTGAGTAGTGACCATGGAGACATCTGGGCAGGAGGTGGCATCTCCATGTAGAGCCTCCACCAAAGGCAATAGTGTTTTTTTTTATAATGTATGATGCAGTTGTATCACTTAGTATGGATAATGTTTTATCCTGTAAGGCAGTTTTGAAATGGGCAAGAGACATTCTGTAAACAATGTTCAGTGGTGATTTAGTGAATTAACTTGTCTATAGGTTCCATTGATTCAAAGGACCTATTCTAGTTGTAACTTAGCAACAGGATTTCAGCCAGTATTTTTCATATTGCATGGGAAATCTCTGTCTCATAATAGGTAGTTAATGGAGGATAATGTTTTACTCCAGGTAACACAGGATACCTGTGTTTTAAGCTCATTAATAATTTTGCTTTATTTGTTGGAAGGGTGGACCAAGCTGGTGTGATTTGTAAACAGGAAGGAATTTTTCGAGTTAACTGTATGGATTGCCTGGACCGAACCAATGTTGTCCAAGCTGCTATTGCCCGTGTAGTTATGGAACAACAGGTATTATGGCAATTTTATTATTGCAACTTTAATTGTCACCAGTCCGTATGGAGAACACTGTTAAATGCCTTGGATGATCTTTAAATAGTAAACAATTGTGTAAATCTGTGCAAAGAGTATTCATGTTTTAAATATTTAAGACTGATTGTCTAATTCAAAGTCCAAACTCAATACTAGCTCTAGGGATTTTAGAATGATTTCTATTATAGTTGTTCAAATAATGTTGAAATACACACTGAAATGTTAAATAATCAATCATCTCCTTTGATGGTTTTTAATTAGAGTGATTTAGATAAGGTAGTTATGTGATCTTATCACAATAAACTATGGCTGATAATTCTATGAAGAATTAGGAGAACATCAGAGTGATTTAGATAAGGTAGTTTTGTGATCTTATCACAATAAACTATGGTTGATAATTCTATGAAGAATTAGGAGAACATGAAGGATGCAAACATCGTCACATTGTATAAGAACAAAGGAGACATGGGGGGACTGCAATAACTACCATAGCATCTTTCTTCTCAGAGTTGTAGGGAAGCTGCTTGCCTGTGTTGTGCTGAAGAGACTCCAGGTGCTTGCAGACAGAGTCTATCCAGAATCACAATGTGGATTTCGAGCTGAGGTATTCTCCCTCAGACAGCTGCAGGAGAAATGTAGGGAACAACAACAGCCACTCTTTGTGGCCTTCATAAATCTCACAAAGGCCTTTGATTTGGTTAGCAGAGATGAAATACCTTCCAAGATTGGATGTCCACCTTAATTCCTTAAGATCTTCAAGTCCTTTCATGAGGAAATGAAGGGCACTGTAGTTCTTGATGGCTCAACATCAGATCCCTTTGAAACAGGTCTGTGTCTTCGCACCAACCCTGTTTGGGATCTTTTTTGCTGTCATGCTGAGGCATGCCTTTGGAACTGCAACAGAAGGTGTCTATCTCTGGACTAGATCAGATGGAAAGCTCTTTATT